CTAGGCCGCCCCTGGCCCCTCTAGGCCGCCCCTGGCCCCTCTAGGCCGCCCCTGGCCCCTCTAGGCTGCCCCTGTCCCCTCTAGGCCGCCCCTGTCCCCTCTAGGCTGCCACTCCCCTTGCTAGGCTGCCGCTTAATAAGCGAGGTCTTCTGTTCCTCTGTAATGGGGTGGGGGCTGTGTTGATAGCAGGGAGGAATCAATTCAATTGCTGCATTGTAGGTTTTTAAAAGCTGAAATCTGACTCCACCACCTCTGTTTAATGTTGTTTTTTCTTTACATAAATGGCTTCCTTCACGCCCCTCTCAAACCACCTGTCTTCTTTGTCCAATATGTGAACATTCTGGTCCTCAAAAGAATGTCCTTTGTCCATAAAGTGTAGAAGTACAAACTTGGAAACAAAGTCCAGTGGATTGTTTTTTTTTACTTTTTTGGAACGTTATTATTAGTTTGGTTGAGAGTTTGATTAAAAGGATCTGATCTGTTTATCACTTTCATTGACCAACAGACGTAATGACTTAGATTGATGTAGTTCAGCTACTTTTGTCCTTTCCTTGTGTCTTAGCTTTGCTACATTGCTCTGCTGGATAACTTCAGTGCATTGAAGCTTCATTTCCTGTAAAATAACCTGCATCTTAAATCACTATGGTGGTGTGAAGAAGCCAAGGCTGAAACTGAACTAAAGAAAGATGAGGAGGTGGATTCGGCAAAGGCGCTTTGATACGAAGGAGGGAGGGATGGTGAGGTTCATGTCTGGCTGGTGTCAACAGAGGAGAGGTGATGTTCGGACTGACGAATGTTTGGCTCAGAGGAAGCAAGATGAGAGCAGAGCTGTGGAAAGCAGCTGCTGCAGCGGTGAAGGGAGCAGAAGGAGTGTCTGCTCCTCCTCCGTCTCTGTGTTTCTGACTGAGACATTTCAGTGAAATATGGTTTGGATTCTGATGATGACATCGCTGTTTTTAGGATTGTAATGGTTATTATCTATTGAATCTAATGAAAACGTTAGGAAAATAAACTTATATGCATAAATTTAAAAATGCCGTTTTGGATAATAATGTCATGAAAAATCTAAAGTAGGAAATAGAAAATAAAAAGAGTGGAACCTGAAGACAAACGCTGTCAGGCACGGTATTACAGTTAATAAGATTAGAGACCATCAGTGAAATGTTGTGCTGTCATTTTCTATCATAGATTCGCCTCACACCGTGTCTGATAGAGCTGTCAATGCGTAGATGTAGTCATAGATCTTTATTTTATAAAGGTTGGCTGATAAACATCTTCTGTGGAAGGTGGACAGAAAAGTTCAGGTCCTGGTCCTGTTCTGCTTTAGGTAGAGGCTGCTTTCCTTCCTGAAAAGGATTACAGCAACTTTTAGCCACTGGTCTGCTACTAAACAGGCCACACTGGAACGACCGTGGCTCATTTTGTTAGCGGTGCTCTCGAGCACCTTGAACCAGAGCAGAGAACGGTGAAGGGGGGGTGTCTCTACATATCTGTAGTGGTGATCAGCAGTAGACTGGACTGGAAGTCAAACCCAAATAGAAGGATGAGCAGACTCTCACCATTTCTCAATATATGTACTTGTGCGTTCTCATGTGCTCGGGTCCTTGTGAAACATCTTCATCCTCAGCCCTAGTACTTTTCCAATTCACAAGAACAAGAAGACAGAGAACTGACAAAGTCCCCGGATGTTGTTCTCGCCCCTCCCTCTTTACCCAGCATGCATCAGAGCAGACTTGTCCGTTCTCCAGACTGACAGCTGTCCTAGGTGGCAGCTCCCAGGTTAGCGCTCACAGAGCTCAGAGTATTAAGTTAAAAGTTCTCTTTTCTGTCACTGTTGTTCTAATAAAGTATGTTTTAAGATAATTTCAGGCGAGAATATTATACTGTTAAGCATCACTATATGGCCCATTTACTGATTTAATAGGTAATTAAAAAAAATTAGTTCTGATGTCAAGAGGACCGCAGCAACCAGTAGACCTCCAGGGCCGATATTAGCCCATCTGCGGCAGCCACGGCCGACGTCAACCCGTCTGCGGCAGCCACGGCCGACGTCAGCCCGTCTGCGGCAGCCAGGGCCGACGTAAGCCCGTCTGCGGCAGCCAGGGCCGACGTAAGCCCGTCTGCGGCAGCCAGGGCCGACATTAGCCCGTCTGCGGCAGCCACGGCCGACGTCAGCCCGTCTGCGGCAGCCANTGGATGGATGGATGGATGGATTTTAGATAAAATAAATATCAGATGCTGGCAGTTATCTATGTACACAATGGTCAAATGTTTTGATCAGGGGTGATTTGTCGCTGGTTCCACATGGACATGTATAATTTATATTTATGTATATAAATAATATGTATTTCCATTAAAAATGTCTCAAGACTGTGCCCTTTACACTGAGTGCACAAATTAAATTGTACGTCACCTATATTACAGATATTTCATATATTTTTTCCACTTTGTCTTTCCACTGATATTGTTGGCTGTTAATCTAACTGTACTGCATTTAATGTCATTTTTATTCTCTGATTCTATTTTTTTTTCAATGGACTCTTTTCAATTAGTCATTTCAAAATCAACTGTTTGTATTTTTGGGACTCCTGGGTGTTCAGGATGCATTGATTGCACAGACTGAGAGGAGAGACACAAAGCAAGGAAGTTAAAGGCTAAATGTTCCTCTAATTTGCTTTATCCACATTGGTTACAAGCAACCCTAATCTAATGAAGCCCCTCACATTGTCTTGCCCACCAGCAACACTGACTTACAACTGATTGCCTTACTTTATCAAAACATTGCTCTTCACTTCACAGGAATACTGAAAGGACAATCTTACATTTTTTTTTTTTTTTTTCTGGAATAGTTCTTGACTCCTGTTTAATTTTATTCAGATACTTTTCCTTATTTTTACAAGAGGGTAAACAACTTAGCTAAATATCTCATTTTACTACACAAAGAACTAGTGTTAGAATTTTCTTACTAAAACTTAAGAGTGAATTATATAAATCAGCCACACCTTTGAATCGTCTAGATTTCCTCTTAGCATCTCAGATAAAAATAGAGTAGATAAAATACAAAAAAAATGAATTAGTTTTCCCCGTTTACTTATTAATGCATAAAGTAAATGATTTCTGATTTTTTTGGTCAATACAGTCATCAGCTAACAAAATGCACTTTTTTCAAAATCTGAACAATTTAAGGGACCTGGTGATTTTAGCATAAATTATCATAGTCTTGTAATTCTTCCTCTTCTGATGGATTAAAAACAGCCATCCCAAATAAAGACACTGTTTTCTATTTTACATGTAAGGGAAATAGAGTTAAAAGGTCAGATCCTAAAGAAAACCAGAACCAGCATTGACTAGCAAAAGTCTGATTAATTCAATTCATTTAAATTCTGTTCATTTTATACAGTGTTAATTCACAACACATGTCATCTCAAGGCACTTTACAAAGACAGAGGCATGAATCATAATTTTAAACAACATTACCCTAACTCAATGACAGAGTCTTTCAGTGTAACAGCTTATTTGTACTGATATGCATCACTTTTAACATGGCCCTCAATAAGTGCAACATCTTCAGCTCATACTCCCATCACTGGTTTAATGAAAATGTGTTAGTGTTGCAAAAGGTTTGTTGTATCAGTTATTCTAATATTAAAGATTCAAATAATAATATTTCAAATGTTTGTATCAAAATATTCTGTAAATAAATTGGAGTCATTGTGCACAGGGTGTGGCTATATAAGGAATACGTTTACTGAAACAGTCCACATCAGGGTGCTGGCTTTGAACAATAAAAAAAGACAGGAAGGGACTCATGTTAAACATCAGCACATTAGCACACTAACAGGAAGGCAGAAGGTCTCTCATGAGACAACTTTGAGTGCGGTGTGTGCCATGGGGGGTGGCTGTGTGTGGGAAGTGGCAGGAAGAAAATTAGAATAATGGAGACAAAAAGCAAGACCATATTCTAAAAACCTTTTACTTCTTAATCTTTGTATTAGGATAATAGAATAATAAATCAGAGCTCTTGAAAGGTAGAAAAGGGAGCACATAGTTGTAGAGAATTTACACTGGTGGGAGGGAAGAAACTGCTAATCAAATTGTACAAACTTACCAACTGAAGCTGTATAGAGCAAGGTACAGACCCGAGTTTAAAATAAACCTGTCAGCAGAAGTGCCAGGTAAGTTAGACTAGAGCAGATTCAGTTATACTCTAGAGGTATAGTGGGCATGGACAGTTTCTTAAAAGACACCCAAAGTCTGACATTTTGGTTCCTTGTGAAATACAAAAATTATCGGTAGAATTTGCTGGAGAGCAGAATATAAAGAAAGTGTACGTGAATTGGACTGCACCATGATGCATTTACTGTACCGTGCAGCAAGAGGATTCTAGGCTAAAATCTCAGCTCCAAGGTCGCATTTCTGCCCATGCAGGTTAACTGGACAATCTAAATCTTCCTCAGATAAAAGTGCATTTGTTCTATATGTCTGTGTTGCCCCGTAATGTACTGGCATTCTGTGAAGAATGTTATGTGCATCTCACCCAATGACTATTCAAGATGAAATATAGCCTGCCATGTAAAGCAAGAGGGTTAGCTAAATGCATATATATTGTGAGAGAAAGGCATATATGTTGTAAAGTCAAGTGACTACCTTATAGTTGTGTTACTTATGTGAAAGACATCATGGTTTTTATTTGTGCCTTATGCTGAAATCCAGTGATAATGACAACAATTGTCTTGAGAGAACAATATTTCCATTTACTCAAAGAAAACAGTAATTTATTTGTGCACATTCACACACAAGCACCTGCTCTTTGTTAAAGAAGACCTCACACTGACGTGTATAACAAAAACTGCTTCTAGATTCAGAAAAGGTCAAAGCATGAATACTGAACCCATTGGTTATATTAAATCCATCCTTGAATGCATTTCCCACTTCTCCATTAAAGCATTTCATTATTTAAAATTGTTAAATTAAACAAAAACAGGATACCAATTTGGTCATGCAATAAAAGGTTTAAGAATTTAGATACTGCAAGCCTAAAGATGCCTTCTTACCGAAAAACTTTGGAGCATGAAAAAGGGCAACCAGAGCCTCAACTTCCACACCTCTACAGACACCTCTGACATGCATCTGGAGGCCCTATCCTTTTGTTGTCCTTTGTCGATCTCTTGTGATTGAGAGATAGTGGCATAAGTTAATTTGCTTTAAAGAGTCTTAATAAAGTATAGTAGTTTTAATATGTTTTTAAGAAATAAAGTACACCTCAAAAAGCGATCTGTGCATGAGTCATCAGGATTGTGGTCCTGTTTTTAAATATTGTGATATTGCTCTGAGCAGCAGACGCCACATACCAGTGGGTGACAGCACCTTCAGCTGCCATTAGTAGTAGCTGAAATTGAATATACATTTTTTTTCCCCTTGTGCATGAAAAATACATCCTACTGGCTTTGTATGTAATCCCAGTGAAGTGTAATCCTTAAAAAAATAAAAAAATAAAAAAAATAAAATATATATATATATATATATATATATATATATATATATATACACACACATAACAATTGGATGCAAACTATTGGTAGTTCAACATAACAGTAAGCAGATTTTTCATCTCAATTAAAACAGAGGCTTAAAAGTTTAATCAAATCCAGTCACAACAACTTCAAAGAGCTCCTCACACAACTTCCAACAAAATTCTTATCGCAGGCATGAAGAGATGCTGAGTTTGGAGGTAGAGAACAAACAAGTTTGTATGATTATCCCTATTGCGGAACTGTGGAGGCTGTAGGCTTTGCTTAGCGCAAGCCGTCTGGAATGTGACGGAACGGAGGATGTGGGATTTCCAGGTGAACCTGGTTCTGGTTCTGCTGGAGGTTTCTTTTTGTTCTTAGGGAGTTTTCCTCTCCACTGTCCCTGCATGCATGCTTGGTGTGAGGGATTGCTGGAGAGTCGATGTCTCCTGTCTCTACCTGCTTATGTTGTAAGTGACTGGATGCAATCAGCTGGTTTTCCTCAGAAACGTTGAATCTTTGATGTGACTGGATGATCTGGTTAATTGTTTCTATAAAGCATTGAGATGACATTGCTGATATGTAAATAAACTGAATTGAAATGTAACAACAAAAAAAAGTTTGAGGAAACATTAAAATAAATGATAAAAAATGTAATCTCAGAAAACTGTTCCATTTCTTCCAAAACCTTTTCTGATTGAGAAGTTTTCAAAGTTTTTCCAGCATTTTCTTCTTCTTTTTTTTTTGTTTTTTAAAGCTGCCTTTTCAAAAGTCGATTTCAGCAATAATAGATAAACTTTTGTTGCGTAGAGCTTTAGTGTTTCACTAAATGAATCGGTTTTTAATCATTTAGTCGGCGTCCCACTGTACGACTGTTTTTTTATGATCCAATCAAACGTTCCCATCAGGCGCTTCCATGAATTTTCCTGTGGTGTCCGTCATGAAGAGAGGCCCGGCTCATGCCGTTTCGTGTCAAGGTCAAGTGTGTGTATTTTTGTATTGTGTCAATCCACAGCTGTGGTCAGAGCGGGACTGCCAGCCCCCTGGGGGTTTGGGTCAAGCACTCGGCATCTGGTGGTTGCCGTTCACCCATTCCTTCACCCTGTCAGTCCCTGGTGTCCTCCTCCGTGCCACATGATCTTTGCACATATATCAGTCCCAATGAGAGTGGGGCCAGGCAGCTGGCCGCTGCTGAGGAGAAAGACCCATAATTCATGTCGCTCAGCCACTTATTCCAAATTGTTTACTCTTGATGCCATTCTGAGAAGGGCCGCGGTGTCCCATGGTCATGCCTGGCATGTCTGCTCCGAGGGCTCCCTGTCTCCCAGCGTGGAGCAGGAGGTCACATGTCGGAGTCTCAGTCATGCTGTCAGTGTTATTTTAAGGACATTAAAACAACAAAACAAACGGCAGGTTTTCAGGTTGGCTTTCTTTTTTTTTCTTGTCGTTTTATTAATGAGGCATCACAGTTTTCAATTAACTTTGATTCAGAATGTGTTTTTTTAAGGTTTCCTTTCTTTAGTTTGAACAGTTTGGTTGGTCCTGGTGAAACTGATTAAAAAGATTTATTTAATGAACTTTTTATATTTTCTACAATTAAAAGCAAAAAAACAACAACAATTGAAATAGGTGGACCCCTTCGTCCGTTTCAGTTTACATGTTTGCAAAAC